GGGGGCAGGCCGCCCCATACTGGTGGCTGAGTGCCGCCAGCGCCCCCAAGGCTCGCCTGCGGACGGCCGCCCAAGCTCCGGCTGACAGTCACGCCGCCCCCCTAGCGGGCCCTAGCGCACGGGGCGGGGGGCACGCTAGCGCTGCTGGCGCTACGCTAGCGCCCGCACGCCAGTGGCGGGGCGGCAATCACCCCGGGTCGATAGGCACGCCGCCCGGCACGCCGCCTCGCCTGCAAGGGCACCAGTACCCAGGCTCTCCCGCCCCTGCAAGGGCACACAGGCGCTCTCTGTCGCTCGCGCCAGCGCCGCGGGGCCGCACTGTGCAGCCGTCTCTGTCGCCCATAGAGTGGGACCGGGGAGACTGGCGGAGGGCGGAGGGGGGAGGGGCGTCGTCGGGGCGCAGAGAACGGTCAGAAGCACGAACATTCCCGAAGTGGAGTCGAGTCGGGGGCGCTCTCGTCGCATTCCGCGGGCTCGACACAAGTCTGCCTTATGGTGTGGTCACTGACTCAGTGGGAGGGGAAAGGGGGTGGGGTGGTTCAGAGAGAGGTTTGAGCAGGGCTAGCGAGGATTGGGTTAAGAGGATCTTGGCAAGGCAAACCTGTGCAGAGGTTACGGGAAGAATGGTGCACTGTCGGTGAGAAGTTCTTTACACGGTACACAGACAGGGAAGGAGTAAGCATCTCCAACCGTTTGTAAGGGTCGTTAAGTTTGCTTGATGAAACCAAAGTAAAATAGTAAATAACAAATTTATTTCAAAAGGCTCCTCAAATCAAGAAATATGATACAAAATATTATGCTTATCCCTTCCAGCGTTAACCATGGGGAGGCACTATCCTATTGTGAATCAAGAACTGTACTGTAATTAATGAAATTGCAATAGGTACAATATTAAACCAGAAGATGGATCATTGTGAATTTCATATTTTTCCATAAATATTTAATTCATAGAAATGAATTAACTTGCAAATTCTTGAAATAATTTTGGTCAGGTATTTGTCTAAGAAGCAATGTGTACTTTAATTGTTAGCAGCCAACTCAATTAAATAAGTACACAACGCACGCACTAGTCTTTAATGACATACATAGACTAATGTCTACAGTCAGTTCCCAATGAAACCCTTAGAATTACCTTCACAAACAGGACACTCTATCCCCTACACAACTTAAAAACTACAGTATTTGAAATTCAAGAAGAAATTTAACAGGAATAAAATAAATAATAAGCTGAATGAAAATAGACCAATGTATTCCTTGGGTATGATCACCACACACCACACAACATTAAAGAATCTATTCAAGTTGCTATGTAAAAGAAGAACATGTACATAATCGACATGGAAAAGCTCTGTATCCTCTGAACAGTTGAATTTAACTCTTCTCCATAAAACTTTGCCATTAGTCAAGATACAAATCACAGGAGTATGCAATACAATATTGAAAGCCATCTAGCAACAAAATTGATGCTGCCGTTTGGTTTGCCTTTAGCATGCTGATAGTAATATCTTGGATCTGGTTTGCACCTATCATGTATCAAAGTAGTTAAAACAAAAAACAAGAAAAAGTTAAAATAATGAAGACTTTATGCACAGAATCCGTTTTCACTAGCATAATGAAAGCAACTTTCACATGGTCGTTAACTCTCCAATTGGAATTAAAACTTGCATCAAATAGCAGGAATGTTTTTAAATCATTGTCAAACACCACTTTATACAGGATGTATCAATGATGTGCACGATTCTTTTTCTTCTTCCGCTTTTTGGTGCGTCGATGCTTGGATCATTTAGGCCCCTCTATTAATGCATTTCCTATGTTAGTCATTGCTGGGTATTTGACCTTACGCTTATCTAACTCATCCTGAGCCCATAAGATGAGTTTCAGAAGATTTGACAACCGTGGGCTGGTGGATTCAAGGTGCTCAGTTTTTAGAATGGCAGCATTCAGTTCACTGGCAACCTAAAAATAATTTGATAGAATTAAAGTCAAAATGAATGCATATTGCATGTCTACAGTACATAGCATATTTTACAAAATATTTGGCTTATACCTTTTGACGATGAGTAGGAAGCAGGAGGTCACTAAATGGGCTTTGAGTTGGCTCATCAAAAGCAAGCAGAGCCAGTGTGCGCTCCAGCTCATTCAAAACTGCAGGATCTGATTCACCGGCCTCTGAAAGATGATTTTGAGCAAAGCTCAAAGCTTCTTCAACTTGGCCAGAGCGAATCAGCTCTATCAGGTGTAGTTGCTAAGAACAGTATCATACAAAAAATTAGAACCTACTGAGAAATAATAGTTTTAATTAGTAACTACCACGTATGGCATACTACCTGCAAATGAAAGTAGAGGTATCTATCATTGTCAAGTAATTCAGGATGCAGCTGATTTACTAGAGATGTTGCCTCTTGTATACGACCATTCTGAATAGCATCTCGAATACGAATGCGGTCATCCATGGAATCCAAGTCCATACATGGTCCAATGCCAGATTCTTGTTGAAACTTCTCTGCAGCTTCTTTAAAACCTTCTGCAAATTCACATTAAGTGATAGTAGTGGTGTACAATTTCTTGAGAAAATGATTGACCAATGATCCATGATATTTGATGGCAATAACTTTAGAAGGGTATACGGTACACCTTGACACAAGCCAATCTTAAATTTGAAAATTTGGGCAGGTGTGAAGAATAATTGTGTAAATTGAGAAAATTGTACTGCAGGTAAAAGAGAAATAAAAATACACTGTGTCTATTTCCCTCAACATATAATGAACCGGACACAGCAAAAGGGATTATTACTGGTCTGGATGTCGACAAATCTCATCATCATATATAAACATAACCTCACGGTAGGTATAAATGCTGAATGACATGTAGGCTAAGTTACTTGTGATTGTGACCGGAAAAGTGGTATTGTGATTCTGTGACAGAAAAACACATGTATTCCCTTTCCCATTAGAGAATTTACAGTACCTGTGACAAGATAGTTCATAATGAGTTTGTTCATATCCGCTCGTTGAATGTGAGCGTTCTCCAGGCGAGAAACCCATTCTTCTTTTGATACGCCCTCGTTCTTATCAGGATAACTCATATTGGAGAATTTCTTGTTGCATAAAGTAGAAATACGCTCTCGATGATCAGGAACAGGCTGCGTAATCGTTCACTTCACATCACCTCTGCTAACCAATGACCAGAACCAGGCCCAGGCAACTGCCTGTTAAATCTCAGATCCTTATATCGCGTGACGTCACACGCGTACCCGATTGCTGCCAACCTAAATCGATGTCCGGAGGGAAATGCGGAGGGAAATATACGTCGGGTACCTTTTATGCTTGCCAATAGACCGCTGGTATTTGAATGTGTTATGTGTTATCAGATGTGGATGATAAATACGAAACATACATCGGAGACGATCGGGGAAAATATTGCTAGCCGAATTTTTACGTTTGCTCAGAAAGAAAATTTAATTCAGAAGAAAAATAATAATTTACATATTTTTCAACATCAAACATCTTTATAAAATGCTGAACTGTCACCATGTTCATCAACGAAGTAGCGGGCCCAGTAGGTGCTGTAAACAGACAAAACAGGAGTCATATGAAATTGGTCGTTACAATAGAGATCAAACATTCAGGAATCATATCCTTATATACATACAGGAATATGCCTTCTTGGTGAGTTGAGGGGTTGGAGCAGGCAGAAGTAGCCCGCAGGAGTGCATGAGGGCTATAGTAGATTCTGACCGCAATGTGTCTGGGCTAAAACAACATAAAAAAATAAGATCAATTTCAAGTAAACAAATTAAATTGGGATTGGTGAAACAAAATTCTCAGGTGCTGTAACATGTTATCCAAAGAAGTTCTTGT